TCTTTCTTTCTTTCTTTCTTTCTTTCTTTCTTTCTTTCTTTCTCTCTCCTTTCTTCCTTTCTTCCTTCCTTCCTTCCTTCCTTCCTTCCTTCCTTCCTTCCTTCCTTCCTTCCTTCCTTCTTCCGGTACTGGGGATTGAACTCAGGACCCTGTGCTTGAGCATTTGGTTTCATATTTGTTAAAATTTGTCTTAAGTAACTGAATCTTTCTCCATTGGTTGCATAGAACCATGGCATGATTTTTGAAGAAGAAATGATAATTAAAATAGTAATAAGTTGAGAAATTGATGGGAGAATGAAGGTTTAGAAAACCACTGTCGATATATGCTAATTTTTAAAAAATGTCTGAGCGATAGAACGCAGTAGAAGCTGAATACCATGGATGCACAGGTGAGCCAAATAGACTTGTTTTTCAGGAAATCCCAGTGCAGAATGAATAGAGCTCTCTACAGCATATGAAGACTGTGATGCAAGGTAAGTGACAAAAAAATGGGACAAGGTGAGGGAAGGCTGGGAGGGAGGGATGAGGACCTAGCAGCTGCAAGAAAGGGTGCAGGAACGCTCAGACCACTTTCTGCTTCCTTCCAAAGAAGTAGCATCCCCAGCGGCCTGGAGGAACCACAGCTCCATCACTGAGTTCCTTCTCGTTGGGATGTCTGCTCAGCCCTGGATTGAGGCTCTGCTCTTTGTACTGCTCCTAGGGATTTACATCCTGACCGTGGCGGGGAACTTGACAATGTTGCTGGTGATCAGGGCTGACGCCCGCTTGCACACCCCCATGTACTTCTTCTTGAGCAACCTATCATTCCTGGATCTTTGCTTCTCTTCAGTCACTGTGCCCAAGCTGCTGAAAGACCTCCTGTCTGAGAAGAAAACCATCTCACTGGAGGGCTGTCTGACTCAGGTCTTCTTTATGTTTGTCACTGCTGGGACTGAGGCATTTCTTCTGACAGTGATGGCCTATGACCGCTGTGTTGCAATCCGCTACCCACTCCTCTATGGCCAGCTGATGAGTGATGGGCTCTGTGTGAAGCTGGTGCTGCTCTCGTGGGCCCTGGCGTCTCTCAATTCAGTAGTCATTTTACTCTTGGCTGTTAATCTGGACTTCTGTGGGGCCCGAACCATACAGCACTACACCTGCGAGCTGCCCTCTCTCTTTCCTCTGTCCTGTTCAGACATCTCCATCAGTGTTGACATCCTGACCTGCTCCACCTTACTGCATGCGCTGGGAACCCTTCTGCCCATCCTTTTCTCTTATGGCCGCATTGTGGCCACTGTCCTGAGGATGAGCTCCACCACAGGCAGAAGCAAGGTGTTCCAAACCTGCTCTTCTCATCTTACTGCGGTGATCCTGTTCTTCGGGTCTGGCCTGGCTCGCTATCTCATGCCCACCACAGGTTCCTCCCTAGATTTGCTCTCCTCCCTGCAGTACAGCGTGGTCACCCCCATGCTGAATCCCCTCATCTACAGCCTGAAGAACAAGGAGGTGAAGGCAGCTGTGAAGAGGATGTTAGGGAAATGCTCATATTAATTTAGGTAATGAATAAGGAAATAAGTTTGCTTTGCAAGATGTTTGAATTTAATGCAGAGTTCTGAACACTAATTTAGAGATAGCCAGCAACCATTGTCTCCCTGGATAGAATGACAAAAAACAATATAATGTACAAAGCCATCTTGTTTATAGCTGTACATCTATGGTCTTCGCTTTCTTTGCTCTACTTTTTTACACCAACACCACAGGTTTTTTCCTAGGGTGCACAGTTAAATGTTGGCCCACCTGAACTAATCATTTCATATCTTATTTTTACTTATTTTTTTGTCTTATTGATCTACTCTGTCATAGATTTTTTCCACTTATCGTCTCCTGCAATAGTTAGACTATTTTATTTTTTCCTTATGGTTTTAAACAATAGTCTTAAATCTATGTTATTGAATTTCAAACTTAAAAACAAAATATGTTGACACTTCTTATGAAAGACTAAATTTATTTTATTTTTACAATTTCCTTTTTCCTTCTGCCCCTTGTACTCTCCCTTCAGTTTTGCTCTATATTCTTAGATTGTTTTGCTCTGGATGTCACCAAGGGTCACTATCTTTATATTATATGATTTTTTTTTTGGCTTTTTGAGACAGGGTCTCACTGTGCAGTTCAGGCTGGCCTTGAGTCACCTTGTAGCCCAGGCTGGCCTCAAATCCACAGTGATCCTCCTGCCTCAGCCTCTCACGTGCTGGGATTATAGGTGTGCACTACCACCCCCAGAATTATGTGATATTTTAAATCAATTAAATTATAAATAAAATATAACTTATAGATCTTATTCACATTGGCTGACATCCCTTTCCCAATGCACTCTCCACTTCCACTTTCCCTTTCCCACAGTCTAACATAATGGTTAGATAGACAGGCTTTGAAAAACTAGTTATCTTGACTGTGTCCATATACGTTTGCAAGTACACTATATATAAAAGTAGTGCTTATATCATACTGTTTTGTGAGAATTAAATGAAATAGGAAATACAGAGCAGCACAACAGGAGTAGCCACTGCTAAGCATTTCTCCTCCCAGGCCCTTCGTGCCCAAACCCCTTAGAGACACCACACACCCATGAGTTAGCCTGCTGGCAGGCAATTAACAGTGGTCCAATCGTAACATGAAGAAACAAACTCAAAGGGTTTGAAGAATGTTTTCTGGCAAATACTTTAGGTCATCCATCTGAGTGACATCTCCAAGAACCCCAGAGCACAGTGCGTCTCTCTCCTAAGTGCCCACATTCTATTTTTTCTAGGTTGTAGACTTCTATAACCCTGCCTAACAAATCTGGCCATGCCTCTTACTGACATGGCCTTAAATTCTTTTTCTCTGATAAAAGAAGTCAATGAACCTATCCCTTGGAGGGAAAGGGTAAGTTGAGGTCCCTGTCTCCTCTTTGGGGGTCCTCCTGGGACCCCTTTGGTGGCAGTCATATCCCAGGAAATCCAGATTGGCCTTGGAATGGCTGTTCCAGGAGCTCCAGGATGGTACCACAAACTTAGTGTTCAGCTCTTTCCCATCTTGAGAGGTTTCAGCAATCCCAAACTCCAGGGTAGCTCCAGTCCAAAGGCAGCCTCCACAGCCCTAGTTTGTCAGGTGTTACCTGAGGTCCTAGCGTGCAAGCCTGCACAAGCACCAGACCAGCCACCCCAAATCCCAAGACTGGGCTAACCCTAACAGTCCTAAGCTCCAAAGCCCTGCTAGCACCAAGATGTCCTCTAGGGCCTAGGCTTCAGGCATGCCCCAATGCTAGGCTCGGTCACCTAATCCCTAGTAATCAGCTCAGTACTCACTGACAGTCCCTGGGTCTCACCCGGCACCAGCCTCCCAGACGCAGAGCCAGGATGGCCTGGTGGCGATAGAACTAGGCTGTACCTGTTGCCACACTGGGTGTAGCAGCCCCAGACCCCAAACCAGCAAGCACAGAAGCAGCTTTCAGATATTCCCAGCCCCAGGCCGGCACCCACAGACCCCAGGTCCAGGCCCATCCCTGCTGATGCAGGGTGCACCTGGCCAGTCTTTGTGGCCCTAAATACCAGGTCTATCCGAGTATCAAGCCATCTTCAGTGGTCCCAGTGCAGAAATCCCTAAGGATTAGGATTCTAGTCCCACCCTAGGCTCCAGACAGGCCAGCTTCAGATCAGCTGAATAACCCCAAGTTTCAGCCCCACCCCAGTCCCCATCAGCAGTGCTGGCCTCAGGAAGCAGGCCACTGTCTACAGACAGGCTCCAGGCCTGCTAAGCTGGTATCCAAAGCCTCCACCCCAGCAGACCTAGGACTGTAGCATGTCTGGGTGGAGCAGGTGTCCAGGTGCAGCTGAGTAGACCATAGCGCCAGGTGGAAGCTGGGCTCCAGGAGCAGCCTTGTGGGCCCAGTTTCTAAGTCAGCACCCGCAGCTGCAGGACCCAGGCCAGTGAGATGAATTAGAACAACCTGCTGAAATGTTGGAGGAGATGGACATGGACATAAACTAATACAGAAAAAAATACCAAGAGTGCTTGTGAGGGTCAACAACAGCACAAAAAGACACTCCAGAAACAAGAGCCCTGATTTTATTATTTAAAAATTCAGACTTTCAGTTTTAGCTCAGGAATATAGAGGACTGATATGATTCTAAAGGGGTCAAAGATGTACACTGGAAAGACAGGCTCTTTAACAAATGGTCCTGGGGAATGGGCTGGGGAGATAGCTGAGTAGAATAAGAGCCTGCCCGGCAAACGCAACGTGAGTTCAATCCCCGGTACAAAAAACAAACCCACAAACAAACAAACAAAAAAAAACCCGAACAAACAAAAAAAGAAAAAGAAAAAAAAAAAAAAAAGAATCACTGTTTAAGGGACGGCCAAATAGCTCACCAGATTAAAGCACCTGCAAGCAGGTGCAGGGGCCAGGAGTTCAATCCCTGGGCCACGCTGAGATGGCAATTGAGCCTGGGCGTGGTGGCGCGTGCCTGTAATCCCAGCTCTTGGGAGGCTGTAAACAGATGGATCGCTATGAGTCAAATCTAGTAGTGAGAACCTGAACACCCTGTAGACCCTACCCTAAAAAAAAAAATCCTGGGGATACTGAATATCCCTAGGCAGAAGATTGAAACTAGATCCTTACCCCTCATGCTGTACAAAAATCAACTCAGAATGGACCAAAGACCTCGGTAAAACACTTAAAACACTGAAGTGCTAGGAAAAAGTAGAGAACACTGAAGTCCTAGGCACAGGCACAGGTAAAGACTTTTGGGTGAGACTCCAATAGCCCAGAAAATAACTGCACCAGTCAACTGATGGAGTGGAATTCCATCAAATAAAAAAGCTTCTGAAGAGCAGGGGAAACAAGAGTGAAGACATATCCAACAGGTGTGGAGAATGTGCTTACCAGCCACTCTTCTGACAGAAGATTAATGTCCAGAATATAGAAAGGACTCAGAAAGAAATTCACACACACACACACACACACACACACACACACACACACACACACACTCTCTAATCAATAAATGGGCAAATGATTTGAACTGACGCTTCTCAAAAGTAGAAGCTTGAGTGGTGTCTTGGTTACTTTTCTGTCATTGCCGGGACAAAATACCCAACACCCAGAATTAAGGAACAAAAGGTTTATTTAGCTCACAGTCTGTGAAGGTTTTAGTCCATACTCAGCTGGCTTCAAGGCAGAGTGCCACATGGGAAAGGGCAGCAGTTCATGGCAGTGACAAACAGCCAAGCAAACAGAGGATCTGTGGCTGCAGCAGCCAGCAAGCCCCTTGCCCCCCTCACCTTGTATTCAGGCTGTCTGTCCCAGGGAGGGGCAGCACCCACACCCACGACCCGAACACTGGATCATGAGCCGCTCCCAAATGCTAGAAGCCTTCCCCATGACTGCATGAGGTTCTGCGGGAAACCAATAGTCACAACTGTAACAAGCAGCGAATAGATACAAGGAAAAATTGCTCAAAATTTTTAGCCACCACTGAAGTGCAAATCAAAACTACATTTAGATTCTGTCTCACCCCAATCATAATATCTATCATCAAGAATACAAAACACACACACACATGCACACGCACACACACATATGCACATGAACACACATGCATACATACAATTCCAGTGAGGTTACGGAGCAAAGAAATTCTGTTGTTGTCAATGTTTTAATGGAAATTAGTGCAAAGTTTTCACAAAAACATTAAAAATAGTGCTACTGGGCCGGGGAGGTGGCTCAGTAGAATAAGTGCTTGCCTGACAAGCACAAGGGTCTGAGTTCAATCCCCGGCTCTGAAAAAAAAAAAAGTGCTACTATTGTATTTGACACAGCTATGCCACTTTTGGTATGTAGCCCAAAGCTGTTAAAGTCAACATACTATAAAGACACCCGAATACCCATGTTTGCCGCATTGCAAGTCACAATAAGCTACAGAAAACAACCTGGGTTGCTACCCATCACCAGATGAACTGGTAAGCAAATGATATGTATGTATACATATAATATGCAATATGTAATATGCAATATATAATA